GACGCCACATCTTGTTTGTGTGACAAATTTGTGTGAAGCCCTATCTCATATTCTGTGCAAAACGATGGCTAATGAGAAACAGCAGATTTGTGACTTATATGATAGATATGTGTTTTTTAATGCCCTGTAAACTGCCTCACATGTTTCTGGAATTAAATTACTCAGAGTTGGCTTGGAAATACCGGTGGAAAAGTTTAAGTCTGCGTAGCTTCTTCTTGTTGCGAAAAATCTGAGTGTTGCGGATAATCGTTCGTGGGGAGTAATCGCACGTCTCATAACGGTGTCTGCTCTCGGAATCATTGGCGCAATTAAGTTTAGCAAATGCAGGTATGTGGCTTCTTCCATACGTAAGTAATTACGAAAATCGTCAGGATCATTACGTGATTCCGCTATTAAATTCGTATGAGACAAGAAATTCCTATTCAGCAACCATGGTTTACACCATTTTCTTTTAGTTTTTAAGTTCATCTTTTTTTTAATTACACACACTGCAGCCGTTGCAAGAATTAACTCTTCGTCCAAATGTTCCATCTTGGCAACAATGCACGTTTGAGTGGTCTTCCTTCACATCTGTGTAAAACGAACTAAACATGTAAACGCCAGATTTTCGTTCAGTTTATCTGCACAGATCTGGCTTGCGCAAGCAAGATCGTTCAGATGGCTTGAGCGTTTAAATGGGCTTTTAGCCAAAGAACCTTGTGATAGGTGATGCGTAGTGCTACGTAAGCCCATGCGTCTTGGGTTTTAAGCGGTGCAGCGCGTTCAATCTGTTTTTCTATTATGATTGCCTAAAGCCTATTATAAAGTTTCAACTTCAACATGAGCTCTAGATTTTAAGAAATGGGGCCTAGAAAAAAATGCTTTCTTTACAAGAATAGAAAGTTGATTTTTTGATATAACCCAGTAAATAAAAAAGATATGCAGTAAATTCATAAACCGTTTCCGTTTCAGAATACATAACGAACCAAACAGAAATCGAATCGTTCGCAGCAATCACAATTCACCCAGTCCCAAAGTTAGGGCAAGTTTGGCCGTGCAACTTAAAAAAAAACAAAATTTTTTTAAACTTTATATTATTATTAACTTAACTAATATTTCTTAACCAAACAACAAGTTTCTCCGTTATTGTTGTTGAGCAGTATACAGAGTTCAAAATTGGCGGCATTCTCTTTGTGAGGTTATAGTGGCTCACTTGGAGAGAACGATATAAATTATGATAAAACAATTTCCAAAATCTAGAATAAATTAACATTTGGAAATCGAATTTCAACTTTGTAAAAGTTGTTAAACTTTGCTATAATTTTGAAATGGTCCCATGTAAAAATTACGGTCCTTACTTCAGATTATGAAAATGTTTTATATTAAAAACTACTGTTCCACAATTTTTTCATAAAAATTCAAAGCGGCCATGATGTTTGCTATATCAGGAACAGGCAGATAGCTTTTGTCAAGAATAACAAGCATTTGTTAAATTGTGAGTCAGTTTGTAGCTTCTTACAAAATGTATACCAACATCGAATGTGCGGATTTGCTTTTGCATAATTTAAGACAACATTTTTGTTCTGATGTTTACAGCTGTGTTTGTTCTAGCTCATGTTTTTTACGTAGTGTTAGTGAGGCAGATTACCTTGAAAAATATTGTTCTCAAATTTCTGATCTAGTTTTTTGCAAAAATTTTATTTTTTTTAAATAATTATTATTTTCGCTATTTTTCGTATACTTCCTAAGCCCCTAGACCTCCCTAGCCACCCCCAGACAACACCCCGAGAATAATGGCGCCAATGTTGAATCACCCTGTATTCAATCCAAGTTCTATTATCCATTGCAAGATGGCGACTGTATACGACTGAGGTAAGCCGATGACCATCGACAGTTAAAGTTAGCAAGAATTACAGCGTACGGCAGCCAGTTCGAGAATGTAAGTGGCCTAGTCTATGTCGCACTCTGTTAGTGACACGATAAAGGTATCTTGCATCTCAAGTCGGAATAGAGAATAAACACAAGATATGCACAGATGAACAAACTTACAACTCAAGTTGGCACTTGGCAATATTGGCAGGGCAAGATTGACAGATTCTGAATGCATTCGCTCAAACCCCTGGAAAAATTTCGAAGAGCCTCTGTAGGAATTTGATGAGCTTATCTGAATCCTAATATATTGCTGGGCGTGTTTTTCTGTACGAGTTTTTTTGGCCGAGTGTTCGAATAATCTGCGGTAGTTTTACACGGAGTACAAGTGAAACAGTAGTGCCAGTATCTGGAAAGACGGTTAAAATTCAACCAGACAAGTGTATTTTCAAGCTTAGGAATTTCACCAGAGACCCAGGTAATCTAGTGATATTATTTTATCAACCGAAAAGCCTGCTAATTAAACTGGCTTGAAGTCGATCCTGTAATTCTATTAAATAGTCACAGAAGCAGTTTCGACGTTCTTCTTCTTGTACCTATGTACCCTGTATTTAAATAGAAATTTCATGCATCAGAGGTCTGTGAACACCTGTAGGACTCGAATGAGATAAATATTCATAAAATATTCACAAGGTTTCAGATCAGTTCTGATGAATAAGTGACAAACAGGAATAACATGTTTACGTTTAACTTCAATTTTAACTTACACTATGGATGGATCTGAAAAAACATTTACTGCCCAGCGAAGGGATACAGTTTGTCTTTTCAGTCTCATTTTGCCATATCTGCAATCTTTTCTTGCTCATTGTGTATGATGTTCATAGAGATATTATTAAGTAATTGAACTAATTAATTATATTCATGTAAATAGTGGGAAATACAATAGCTTTTTAAGGCAAAATAGTTTATTATATTTGTTTTAAGGTGGTAGGCAATGGCAAGTGTAAATCATTAAAATTTAAAACAATGGAAGTGAAGGCAGATTATTTCAGATCTTGCCATTGTCACAGATTTATTTATGTCTTGCTTTTCCAGCACTGATTGCTCACTTGCCACTAGGCACGTTTTCGATGTGATCTTGAAAAGTCCAATTGTAGAAGGTTTTCCGATAAGTAATCTATATTTGTTTTAAAACCTTAATTCACATACCCTAAGATTAATTAATCTAATCGAGAATGGAATACCGAGTAATGCAATAATTAGATACCAAGTGTGTCATGTGAGGATTTAAAAACCATCATAATAAAATAATCAGTTGTTTCCATAAAGCTGTAAAGTATTTTTATAATACATTTCACGTTTTTATTAATAATCGTCTATCCAATCCTCCATTGTATAGTTTGTTCATTTCTATTTTTTTACATTATACCACCTTATCTAAGGTGACCTAACAATTAACAAAGTCTAATAGATAAGCAGTTCCTAATTGGTACCGGGGCCAATCTTATTTGACTATAAAAAAAATTAAGTTTACTGTAATTCGACTCAGTGGTAGAATATTTATACGTACATATCTAGACTCGTATTTATATCATAATTATCCATTATTCAGGTCTAATTACTAACAGCTGAAACAACAATATTGGACTGATCAGTACATCAATTTGCTTTTTAAATTAGCATATCTTAAGTAACATTTGGAACCAGTAATTTTATTTTAAATTTTAATCATTTGGAATTTATGCAAATGGTCAGGTGTGAGACTCTTCTTCAATTGTTCATTCTGACATACTTACATCAAAGGACAGAAACAATAAATTATGTTAATAATTATGTTTAATACATTTTAAATTGCTTCCTTTTTTCCATTTTCTGAAAGCAGCAATGAGATACATTTTAAAATGTTGAATCTTGATAAAATTCACCCTATTTGTGTTTTTTACGTTAGACTATAAATAAATCGAAGGCAAATTGTTTTCTTAACATACATTTGTGGGGATTGTGCTTGACTTAAAGCCCGTTTACACGCTCAAGCCATCTGAACGATTTGGCTTGCGCAAGCCAGATCGGTGCAGATGAACTGAACGAAAATCTGGCGTTTACACGTTCAGTTCGTTTTACACAGATGTGAAGGAAGACCACCCAAACGTGCATTGTTGCCAAGATGGAACATTTGGACGAATAGTTCATTCTTGCAACGGCTGCAGTGGGTGTAATTAAAAAAAAAGATGAACTTAGAAACTAGGAAGGAAATGGTGTAAACCATGGTTGTTGAACAGGAATTTATTGTCTCATACTAATTTACCCAATCACAAATCTGCTGTTTCTCATAAGCCATCGTTTTGCACAGAATATGAGATAGGGCTTCACACAAATTTAATTTAATTTAACACTGAAGTTTGAGCACTTGTGTCTAAAGACAGACTAAAATTTTAGCAGAAAGTAGGTAAAATCTTGGGCATCGGTATATCCCAATTCAAATTTAT